GAGTTAAAATCATATATAATACACTCACTCACTCCGCTTCCTGGCCAAAATTTCACGGGTAAAATTTGTTAAAAAATATAAATTTGACAACAATCGTACTTGCTTTATCTCGGCCAGCAGCTGCACCCCAGTTTTGTCCACTTTTCCAAAATCGGCAATATGCCAGTCCGTTTCGATGCGCCTTGCCAAATCGCCAATGGTACTTTTGGCACCCAACAAAATGCGTCGCCTGTGATAGAATCGCGAATCGAGGATGTGATCAATTTGTTTTGGGTCGTTAATCGAGCTGTGTAGCGCAATGCGCTGTTTTGTTAGGCCACCATGCTGTAATAAAGATCAGAGAGCCATCATTTTTGAATTGAACTAATTAAAAGTGAATATTGCACAAAAACGACGACAGTTATTTTTGAAAAAAAAAAAAATAATGTAACACAAAAAAAATAATTGGCCAACGTACGGCTGCCCGTGCGAAGATGCGTTTTTTGCATAGTTCCCCACAGTTTTTGTCGCTACCGGCACCGGTTTTTCCGTCAATTGCTTCTAACTAGGCAGATTAAGACTAGTGACCAGAACTGTCAGGGAACACCCCTTCAAAATTCCAGTGTTCTAGCTTCTCAGGTCCCCGAGTCAACAGGTTACCGAAAAAAGTCTCCACGGGCTCCTACGTGGGTACCACGCATACCCGGAGACTGGGTTTGAGCTCACTAACACATACTTGGATGGGTAACATCCCACTAAAATTTCGGCTTTCCAACTTCTTTGGTTTCTGAGTTAGCAGTTTGCTCGTAAAAAGTTTTGGCGGGCCATACGTGGGTATCACGTGGGTAACAGCGCCCATTTTGGGGATGGGGGTCCGTATATGTATGCAGATGAAGCTCCCGAAATTTCAGCCCCATAGCTTTTGTAGGTCTCGAGATGAAAAACCGGTACAGACGAACACAAGACACACACACACACAAACAAACAAACCCTCGTCAATATGCGTTTTCTGCATTACATAGCTGCAAAAAATGCATAAAAAAGAAAATGCAGAAATCTTACTGCAAAACGAAGAGGAATGGCACTTGCAGTACCGACAGTGAGATAATTGTACAAATGTCCTTCCAGTGAAAACTGCTGCAGGTGTAAATTTGTGGGCACTGAACCAAAGGCAACACGAAATTTCTCCATCGACGATCGAAATGATGGGCCTGCGTATGGCTCCAGGAATTCCAGCGAATTTACGAGAATCTCCTGATTTGAAGAAAGATGCCTAAAAAAATATAAAGTAGAAAAAATGTCTAATAATGCGAACAGATAACTAGATGATCTGACAAAAAAAAAAAAATAAACCAGAAGTAATAAGGGCCCAAATTATCGATTTGAAGCCTCTGGTACTATCACAAGGCAATGGATATTAGTCATCGAGATAATCTGGAACTCCCGATGTTACTGCGTCACTGCTTATCAACAAGATCGGCGTGTAAGATCTTGAAGATACTACAGTGCGGCCATTAATTATCACTAAAGCATCAGCGCGGGGTTTCCAAGTTCCGCCAAACAAACTGCATATGTTAAAACATAATCCAAAAATTTCAACTTTCTAGTTTTTCTGGTTCTCGAGTTAGCGATTTTCCCGCCACAACTTTGAGACGCTCGTACGCGGGGCCTAGATGTGCTTGAGGGTTGGTACCGCGGTCCTGGGGTGGCACTTGGCCATATAAAAGATTCCAGGTCCTCGTCCTTTTCCAGTCTCCTGGCCAGAGATATTCATTGTTTGTGTCTTTAAAATTTCTACAAAATACTTCCTATTCAAAAATTTCACAAATTTCTAAGCCTGTATTTCTTTGTTTTGATTTCCAAACTGCTTGTTTCGATTTTCCAAAAAAAAACAGAAAAAATAAACCTTAGACAATCATGTAGGGTGTCCAAACATTCATTTGGGACAGACC